ACCAAACAAGCGGCCCCTAATTGTACTCATGGATCTTCTCAAAATCCTCAAAGTACCATAAGTATATGACATCCACATAAATGACACTCATGTCCACAAAAATGGTAGTGCCAACCAAATACAATAGGTATGCTCTCATAGCATACGCTCTATGTTGCCCTACCTTCTTCGTATCACCTTTAACATGTCGTGCTCTTTCTATCTCACCAGTAAATACCTTTTTCAAATAGCTAAACCTAGAAAGATCCCCACGAGTCTTGTCAAGCTCATTCATAGCACTCTCTAGGGTAACTCTTAAGTATTCTACCATCAACTCCATACCCTCTTCTTTGTCACACTTACCATGATCTAAAAACTTCCCACTAACCGGAAGATACAGTAGACACGCGATATAATCTAATGTGATAGTCATGTCATTATGTGGTAGATGGAAGGATGACATTTCCACATGCCATCTCTCTCTATAAAAGCATTAATCGTCCCATGGTTAAGTGTAGTATAACCATTCTGGCTAAAATCTTTCAACCCTGATAGGTGCAACACATCTTAAAACCCATCTCATTAGGCTCTTCCAGGCGACTGGTCTTCTGCATATGGTTGATGATTTTTAGTGGATCACGTTTCTGCATACATGGTTTAACAAGAATGATTCAAACAAACAAAACTTAATAATAAACCAAACACATTTTTAAATGAATATTTTCAACCAATTTTTACCTCTCTATCACATATATGTTTGGCAATATAGTCCGGGTAAAGAGGTAGAAATGATAAGTCTGACGACCCTCCTCAAAATCTCTAAGGTGATGCAGGTGCGACCTTATTTGCCTGGGTCTGGGACTGTGATGCCTCAGGTCCGCATGGACTATGATCTATCATGTACCACCAGTGTAGCCTGGGACTGGGGTACCTCTGGGGGGCCTGGTACTGAGGTAACTCGGGCGTGGCCTGGGACTGGGGTACCTCAGGTGTCCTTGGGGTTGTGATTCCTCTCTTGCCTCATGTATCTGCATAGGTGAACTTATACGTCTACGTAAAGATGAAGGCGGGGAGGCATGAGTAGGAGAACCTCGCCTACTGCAGGAGGACGAAGAAGAAGATGAAGAGACATGATCCCTAGAACCTAACTCCACCTCCGCATCAACTAGTCTAGATGTAGAAGGATCCTAGGATGCTTGACTCTTTTCTCTCTGAACCGAAGCATGTTGTTCAACCATGTTGTGTCTCAATCTAGATTGTCCGTCATCCATAACTCCTATAAAAAGACAAGATAAATGTTACCCAATGACTCTTGTTCAAATGGAAAAAATGAAGGCATACTTATTTAGGAGATGTATCTCTGTTTTTTTGTAAACGTAAGCGTCAAAAGATGCAAATACGAAAGTGTTATGTAAATGCATCTCTGCTTAGTTGTTTTCACTGATTTAGGGTCTTGTTCAGCAATGTGCATACTTTTGGTACGCTTAAAGATGCATCTCTAGAACCTGAGGACATAATTGTATTTTCACACAGTGCGCTAGAAAAGCTTGGGGTGCATTAATAAATTCCCTAAAAAAAACCTGGTCTGACCTATGCCTGTGTAGGTTTGGTCGTAGGCCCATGTTAGTTGGCCTGACCTATTCCCACCCCTTAACTGTGATTTTTATAATATGACAACCAAACACGTCCAATAATATTTATTTTTTATGATTTTTCGATTTTTTTAGATAAATTTGTAGATTTAATTTGAATCAGTTTGGATTTAAACACCCCTCCCGACCCATGAGCTAAAGTTATGACTACTTAATATATTGATAAAAAATTATTGAAAATACTTAAAATTTAAACTATTTAATAAATAATTAAATATAATACAAAATAACATTAAATGATTGATTGAAAATAAAATACGTTATGCGCGACGGAAGCTGTCACTTCTTAATTTTTATCTAATATAAATATATAAAAGTTAAAGTACCTTGAAAAACCAAGTATACCCTTCTGAAAAAATGACTAAACTTTTCTGATTCTAGGGTTATATGTGACTTCTTCCACCCTTGTTTCACTCTCATTGATTTGACAATTAATAAGTATGATGTGTCACTCCCATATATTTTTTTATTTTTTTATTTTTTTTAATACACAAGAAGCTGGAAAGACATATTTCACGCTAATTGGATTTCAATTTTCAAATTTTTTCAGAGCAACTCAATGGTCAAATAGTCACATTGAGAATGAAAAGTCATTTCATGCATAGGCGGAGCCAGCGTATGGCTAGGTCGGGCAGCTGTCCATGCTCATCTATCACTTCCAAGTAGAAAATCCTATTGCCAACTACTCAGTTCTTTCTCTTTTCCGCTCAACAATTTCACTCCCATCTTCTTCAAAACCATACGACGACAATCTCGACGCCATTCACAATGTTCTCAGATCCATGGTAAATCCTCTCTCAGCTCCCTTTTCGTTCTCTCTCGTTTTCAATTTCAGTTAGTTAGGGTCACTAGTTACATTAAATTTGAGTTCATTTTTGTTTTGTTGTTATTGCACACTAAGTGTTCGATAAATTGTCTCAACCAAGTTTCTTTTCCTTTTTCGCTTATGTTTCTTACGAATTATTATGCTGAGTTGTTGTTATCAATTTACACCCTCTGGTTTTTCATCTTTCTCTTCAAACTATTCTTGTTTTGTAACATTCTGTATCTGGGTTGGTTGGAACTTGGTTTTTTGAGCTAAAGATTGCATCTTTGAGATTTTTATGATAATGGCTTATTGTTTTTATTCTATTTGTTTCACTGTCTTAGATGGGTGGTTTTTATTCTATTTACATCTTTGGAGAAGAAATGGATTATTAGAAAGTGCATGATTTTAATGAGTTCATGTTCTTGAATCAAATTTGAGGAACATAGAGAACTTGTAGCCCATATTAATGCAGATGATGTCATACGAAGGATAAGGTATCACAAAATTGCAGAACATGGTTCTTTGTTGACCTATGTTTTAGAAGTGAGATTTTCATTACTATTTGCATATACACATCATCATCTAGTTAATCAACAATTTATTGGATGTTGATTTAAGGGAGTGGAGACATTATCGAGAATGATGGAACACCAACGTTGTACAACAGGAAAATGAGACATTTAAGGGGGGGGGAGTAGAAAGTGATGGAAAAGATTAGATTCTCTCATGTATTGTCCCAAAAAAGATTAACTTAACTGACAGATGATATATCTCCTGAGCTTGTGCATTAGTCGTTCAAGTAGGATGGATACTATGTAATTTAGTAATAATTATTTATTGAGGGTAAAGTTTGACTTTGGTACATTTGCAATTGATTTGTGATTTAGTTTAATGAAATTCTCTTTTCTCGGCTTTTATAGGTTTGTTCATTTTGTGAGCACACCTGAAATACTGTAACATGTATATATTATAGAATCCGAAATTTTAACATGTATATATTATAAAATCCGAAATCTTACAAATTGAAGAGGTAATTGCAATTCAAGGAAATAATTCCTTTGGGATTAGCATTGTACTGTCTTGGTAGAAAATTATAAAGCCAATGAAAACTTGCCCAGGCTTCATAATTTTTCTGGCTCCGCCACTGATTTCATGTGAGACATTCTATCTCTCTTGGCTCAATGCATACTCCCACTTTATCTCTCTCACTGTCGAAATAATAACTGATTTAGACCCGACCAACATCGTTATCGAAACTGTTTCCAACACCACACAAACCTCCATTATCGCAACTCATCGAACTCACGAACTTTCTTTTGTTTTATAGTTTTTGATATTAATGTTGTTGTTATGTTGGTTTTTTGTTTTTCAGTGTTCTTCATAACATCATCAAACCCACAAACAGATGAAAACGCGATTCAAATAGTTGGGAACATGTCAAAGTCACCGAAAACCAAACCGAAACCACCGTGTTATTGCCGCACCATCACCCTCCTTCTCTTTTGAAACCAGACCAAAACGCAACAAGTGCAATGTGCTCCTTCTCTTTCGAAACCTCTGATGAAGTCCACCGCGCATGTCTTAGATTTGATTGGGTTAAGATGTTCACTGAAGGACTTGACAAACACGCTCTTGGCTCGACCAGAGAGGTAAATCTCCCAGCTTTTCCATTTTTGTTATTTTGCGTTTTATCATAATGGATTTCTCTTAATTCACCTTAATTCTAATAAAGTTGTAATTTTCATTTGTTTTGTTAGTGCTTTGGAAAGTTCTGTTTAAATCATAATATTTTGTTAGAAATTCACATATTGTTATCCGTAAGTGTACAAATATCTTTTTTGTTTAATCACAACTTATAATTTTATTTCAAACCTCAATAAACTTTAAGTGTTCACTTAAATGTCTGTATTGGATTGGTGATGAAGTATTAATATTGTTGAACTTGATGTACCGAGGAGAAAAATCTCTCATCTATTTGAAAAAGTGAGTGTCATTGGTCTCTATTTTATTGCTGTATTAAATTCTGTTTTGTAAAATATCTAATTTTTTCTAATATAAATCTTGACTTGAATTAAGAGGAAACAACAAATTCTTGAAATCGGAGATGATTGGGAAAGTTTATCCATTAAAATTGTTAAATAAATCTATTGCAAATAATCTGGTATCACTTTGTCAAAGGAGTAACTGAAGCTTGAGGACAATAGTTAAAGATGTTAGCCTTTAGGTGTAATATTTGAGAATCATTAGGTGAACTTTAATCTTTTTTTGAGACTAATGGTGATATTTTATGTTAGCCCTCTGATTTCTAATATATAGAGATCCAAAGAAGTGAATAAAAGTAGATAAAAAATTATTTCAGCTATGAGTTGATTGCTAATTAAAGAATTCATCCTACCACATAAAGTGTAATTCCAGTAAAATAATTAAAGTTAGGCAATATTTCTCCTTCAATCAACATTAATTTTAACACGGTATGGTATACTGATTATACTATATTTATTTCACTAAATATACTAGCCAGTCCTTCAAATAGTTTCAGACGCATTGTCAAAGTTCAAGTGATGGCATCCACTTCGTCCAACCACCAACGTCTCCTCTCCATGACAAAACTCATAACTTCCCACGTAAACCAATCCCGCCACAAACAAGCTCTCTCAATCTTCCACCACCTCCACACCACCTTACCCATCTCCCTCGACCCACACGTCTTCACCCTCGTCCTCAAATCCTGCACCACCCTCCACCTCCCCCTCCTCGCCACCTCCATCCACTCCCACCTCATCAAAACCTCCTTCCTCACCTCCAACCACTTCCTCTCCTCCTCCCTCGTCAACTTCTACGGCCACTGCATCTCCCTCAACTCCGCACGTAAACTGTTCGACGAAACTCCTCAACCAAATGTTGTCGTTTGGAACTCCATCATTGCACTCTATTCCCGTTCACAACACATTACGTCTGCTATTTATCTCTTCAACCTCATGAATGTACCTCCGAATGAATCCACTTTCAACCCCATTATCGCCGCCTTATCATCATCCAATCAAAACAATGCTTCGTTTCAAGCAGTAAAGTTCTACCGGAAAATGATTGAGTTGAAACTAAAGCCGAGTTTGATCACGCTACTCGCCCTTCTCCGCGCGTCTGTTTTGACTGCGGCTTTGAATTTGATTAAAGAGATTCATGGTTATGGGATAAGGAACCATATTGATTTGGATCCTCAGTTGAGTAGTGGGTTGATTGAAGCTTACGGTAGATGTGGTTGTTTAACGAATTCACGTATAGTTTTTATGAATATGAGGGAATGTGATAAAGATGTAGTTGTTTGGAGTAGTTTAATATCTGCTTGTGCTTTACATGGTGAAGCTAGGGAAGCCTTGGAGATTTTTCAAGAAATGGAAGTTTCGGGTGTGAAGCCGGATGGGATTACTTTTCTTGGTGTTTTGAAAGGTTGTAGTCATGCTGGGTTGGATGACGAGGCGTTGGGTTGTTTTATGAGGATGCATAGGGATTATGGGGTTGAGCCGAATAGCGAGCATTATTCTTGTTTGGTTGATGTTTTGAGTAGGGCTGGGAGATTGTATGAAGCTTATGAGGTTATTAAAGGGATGCCGGTGAAGGTGACTGCTAAGGCATGGGGTGCTCTCCTTGGTGCTTGTAGGAATTATGGAGAGTTGGGGTTGGCTGAGATTGCGGCCAGAGCTTTGGCTGAGATTGAGCCGGATAATGCTGCGAATTATGTGCTGTTGGCTAAGATTTATGCTAGTGTTGGGAGACAGGAGGAGGCTGATAGAATGATTAGGGAAATGAAAGAGAAGGGAGTGAAGACTACGGGTGGTAGTAGCTGGGTTGTGTATTCCGAGTCTTGAGATTAACCGTGTTTGCCAAACATGATTTTAAAATTGTTGTAATTAGCAGACAATTGTTGTTTGCGTGCCTGCAATTGGAGTATCAAAGTTCCCAAGAACTGTTGATGTTTTGGCCTAGTTATTACTCTGAGCTTCTAAAGGAATGCAGAGGGAAATGTTGTGGCCATGGAAACTAACATGCCAACAATTGTTTTTGCGGATCATAATTTAAAAGATAAAACTTACCTACAGTATTATAAGTCTTGTTCTAAACTAAAAAGCACTATTTTTAGGTGTAAAAAGTTTGGACAATTATGAGCACTGTGTAGCTATGAGCGTTTATTGTCAAGTTTAGTAGAGAACAACACCTTAGTCTGAAGTGTTGTGCTTTGAATGGAGGGATAGAGGATTGAACTTGAAAGCATATTGGTGATTCAGGTCCCTTTGGAGAGGATGAGGTTGACTTGTAGCTAACAGAGGCAGGTTCGACTCGGCACTTGCACTTCTTGTTATGTCCTTTTGAATTTTCTGGTTCTAACACTTGGCATGACTTTGTTGTTTTAAGATCTCATCCCTCGTGTATTGATTGATATTTCTCATGTAATTTGTTTGATTTTAATGTATGGTAGACTTGAATAATGTATAGTTACCTTGTATTGTATATGACCTAAGTCACTCTCAATCTCACCGAGTTTAGAGAAATGGAAAATCAAGAATGTGTTGAAATGTTTGAGAAATTCACATGGAAAATTGAAAACTTCACTCGCATGAAAGCAAAAGAGATCTATTCGGGGCCTTTTGTACTCGGCGGGTACCCATGGAGAATTATTCTGTATCCACTGGGGTGAAGGCTACGAGTGGTAGTAGTTGGGTTCTGTATTTCGAGTATTGAGATTAGCTGTGTTTGCCAAACATGATTTTAATTTGCAGTCATGGTTGAGACCCGGTTTTTAAAATTGTTGTGAATCGCAGACAAATGTTGTTTGTGTGCCTCAATTGGAGTTGCAAAGATCTCATGAACTGTTTGTTGATTGATTGTTTTTTGCAGTGGATGCGTGGACATGAGATAGTTTTGGAGCTACTACTCTGAGCTTCTAAAGGAATGCAGAGTGAAAATGTCGTGGCCATGGAAACTAACACACCAGCAATTGTTTTTTGAACGAGATAGTTGGTGAAGTGTTGTGTTTTGAATGGGAGGGATAGAGGTTTGAACTTGAAAGATATTGTTGATGATTCGGGTCCTCAGAGTAATCAACTTCATCTTCATCAGTCCATGGGTTGTTATCATTTTCATGATTATCCCCCTCATTTGATGGAGTTGTGAGATCTAGAGCTCGCTTGACTGGTCCTCTAAGTCTTCTTCCCATATTCAAGATGCCAGCCTGTTTCTTTGACTTCTTGGTCTTCTCTTTGATGATCAGGGTTTTCAGATCCTCCTGCCCCTTAGCCAGAGCCAGGAACATTTGTCGAAACTGAGCATTTTGAGCTTGGAGATCCTTCATTGTTTGTTCGAGAGCCATTTCTTTTGCTGAAATAAACAGCGAAGGGATAAGAAGTCTGTCAGGAGAATACCGGTTATGCAATAACATGTATGATATGTAAATGTTTTCAAGGATCTCGCGGGTTAAACAAGAAAATGTCAGAAGTTGAATTTTGCAGCTTTGATTGAAGAACTCCATATCGTTGAAGGTCCTTCTACGAGAGTCAAGCTCACCATGTCGAGTGGGTCATCGCCTCTGACTCAAGTTATCGTGTTTTGATCTTTTGACGGTATTGGCTAGAGGAAAATAAATCCCCTTGTCCCTTGCTAGACGTCTGATTCATCATAACCTACACCACATGCCCTTGAGATCCTTGAAATGGTTAAGGAAATGTTATGGTATGATGCTATGATGTGTATGCTATGCATTAAGCAAAAATGCAGGGTGATAAAGACAAGTATGTCTTGCAGGAAATTCGAGTTATTGGACAATGACTCATATCATCAGATAATAAACAAAACCCCTGCAAAGAATTCAAGTCGTTAGATAATGAAAGCAAACAAATCACACAAGTAGCCTTAGGTTCAGGCTTGCATGAGTTACATAGGTAAGTACCCTCTTGAAGTTTAGTGGGCTCAACATATCCTATTAATAGTAACCGGGTTCTAGGGAATCTCAATATCACTGATTTTTCCCACAAGTTTCGTTCCGATCGACAACTGACTTGCCACCAAACAAAACTCGGGAGTCAAATCTCAATGAATGTAGTATCGAGTATCAACCGACTTAGGACTACACCAAAGACGGCTATCTCACTACTTTCTAATGGCCAAGTCGTTCAATTAAAGGTTCTAAGGTCAGTTGATGCTTCATGACACCACGCAGCGGTCCCGTATTCTCCTTGACTACTCAAGGGCTACTGGTACCAATCAAAGTGTCATATCAACGTAGCTATCGCTTCAACCGTGTCGATATATCCCGCACAACTCTCGTGATCTATTGCTACTTACCTAAAAGGTGCCCCAGATCCGGGTGTAGGATCTATAGTAACAACCCAAACAAACCCTCCAAGGATAAAGCATACAAAGCAAGCAATTAAAACAGTTTTAAAATGAACTAACTCTTAAGGTAACCCCACTTTATAAGTATTCCCCAGCAGAGTCGCCAGTTCTGTGATATGGTGGTAGAACTGACTGTTATATTGGTTTTGCGTTTGTGTTCGTAAATATTGCGGTAAACAAGAGTCGCCACCGACTTTTCTTTTAACCAAATTAAGGAAAGGGTGAAAAGAACGGAAAAAGACTTTTTCGAGAGTTTTGAGTAAGGGGGGTAGATTATGGAAAGGGAATATGTTAGCACCATTTTCATCCGTAGTTATCTACGAGCTCTTAGATGCTTATCTCATTTGAAAAATACCTTGTGCTTTGTGTGTTTTGAAAAATATTTTGAAATGTCTTAGTGCGACGATTTGCTTTGTGTTAACTCTTGTATCAATCCTCAAGAGTGTTGACAAAGAAAATGTTTTTTTTAAAGTTGTTTTTTTGAAATGTGTAAGTATAAAAAGAGTTTGTTTTGAGCATAGCATCTAAGAACTACCTACTTATACTCGAAAAGGTTGTTCTTTTCCTCCTATCCTTTAGACAGTGTTATCCTAATATTAGTGAGTAGGTAGCCCTATCGTTGAATGTTTGAGGGACATTCAAAGGGACATTATAGTCATAAAGGCAACATGTAGAGACGTTTTAGCAAATTTTCATTTAGGGACTAGATCATTTACCGAAAGGCAACTGTAGGGTCATCGAGAGACTATGATCTTTTGATTTACGAGTCTTTGCTAAAGCATCTCCGTTTCGAGGGACATGACTGTTTTATTTCCGAAGGCAACCAAAGTGGGCGTACCTTAGAGGTGCATGTGTGCAATGATTCAATTCCGTTTATTTATCTCTTGTTATTAGGTTTGCTAGCGTTTTATTATTAGTATTTTCATACAAGTCTAGTTACTAACAGTAGTATATACAATAATTTAAAGTGCATAAATGTAAAGTGCGGGAATGTAAATCCTACGCTATTACATGACTTTGTGAGAGGTACATTATAGAAATGCCAAAAGTAAAGTCCTAGTTACTATTACAAACTGGGAAGCAGTTACAATAAGATGAAAAAATTGCGAAAGTAAATAAATGCGCAAACGAATTAAAAGGGACGTCTAAATCCTAAATAAAAGAAATCTTTTTGTTTGTTTTGTTTATTTTGGGAAAATACAACCTAAGTCTATTTAATTTTAATTTCAAGAAAAGGTTAAAATGATTAATTAATTTGTTTACAAATTAATTTGATTAATAAAAACTAATCTGATAGTTTTTGTGATTTTTTGATTTAAAGTTAATTCAAATGATAAAGTCAATAAAGAGATAACAAAAACGAAAATAAAATACAAAGGGGGCATCCTTCGATCCTGGGAGAAATAAGAGGCTTTCGATTCAGAGGAAGGTATCTTTCGATCCAAAGGAAGATGGCTATCCTTCGATCCAGTGAAAGAATGTTACTTTCGATCCATAGGGCACTGTTGAAAGGGCCTGACGGGTCACTTGTGAGGACACTGAACCTGCAAAGATGTGTTAGCAAAACAAAGATGCAGGACCTGGGTATCGAACTCAGGTCCTTCGATCCTGTGCGCGTTGGTCTGTTTAGGTTGGATCTGCAACAAGTGTTAGAAACAAAACAAATGCAGACCTCGGTGTCGAACCCAGGTCCTTAATTTTAAATACAAATCGAATGAACTACAAGTGTTAATGTATCATGAAAATGTAAAGTTTGATCTTTTATCAGTTCTTACCAACGGTGATGTATGAATTTGTGGCTTCAGGCGTGGGTACTCTTGTTTAAGGGTTGCTTCAATTTGGCAGTTATGGATATGGATGGGCTTGGAATAGACTCTTGGGAGCCTCAAGAGCACAAATTTAGTATTTGTGTGGACTGGGGGTACCTGCAATACTAGCTTCGAATTATAAGATTTATTATAATTTAGTATACTTTTTTAAGGCAGCGTGTGCGTGTATGAGCTAGTCTTCTCTTTTTCGTGTGTTAGTGTGATCCTTATATAGAGAGGATGGAGGGGACAAGAGGGCAAAGGAATAAACAACCATTAAGTTGGTGTTTTAAGGACATTAATATCACTTTGAAACTTTGCCAAAGACATGGTTTCTTGTCCCTTTTTTTGAATTTGCTATGGACCTGGACACATTTGACTTTCGAATGCCCTCCTTCGAATGACTCTGATTTCCTCCTTCGAATGGCCTAGAGTCTTGATTCGAAGTGTTCAGAAACTTCCTTATTAGAGCTTATTCGATTGAGTCTATCTACTTTCCCTAGTTGCTTGATTCAAACGACTCAAACAAAAACTTCAATATGGCCAATCTAAAACCTCTTTTGTCACCACCTTCGAACGCTAATGCACAAGAGGCCTGGGCCTGGCCACATGTAGGACCAAGACCCATCGTAAGACAAGCTTGTATTCAGCAACCATGTGTCCTTCGAATG